CGGGTGGAGAGGGTAGCTTTATGGTACTCAGCACAGATTGACACACCGAAAAAACGCGAACTACTTCGGAATACAACAGTTCGCTTATTTGAAATGAGCAAACAGGAAAATGCCACCAAACTGATCAAATTCAATATTTTTGGCGATGAAATTGCAAATCTAGAAATGATTCGAGGCGCATTCCAGGTTAGCGCTCCGGAAACAAATTTGAACTGATAAAATGCGCACAAAAGTTTGCGTGAGCGCGTCAAATTCGCTACCAAGTTGCTTCTATGCAATCATCGAGAGAAAGTGGTACCAATGGCTACAACCAACGGATTGCTGCTTTTGGAGATGCCTACCAATTCGGGCTATTTACGAGTGCCTCCGCCATTCACAGAGAATGGAACACGGAGAAGTTTACTGGACACATTTAATTGATAATACTTGATTCATCTTTTGTTCATAACTCAGATTTCCAGTTGTGCAGCCTTCAACTAATACAAAAGCACAGGTCCTGAAGTGGCTTTTTCTGCCGCAATAACATCAAAGGCATTGCAACTGATAGTTCAGGCGACCTTAGTGATTCCTATTACTACTGACCCCATTAGTAGCGCCATCACCAGCAAACTTGTGTGCGATTATTTCGCGCCATAATGAATGAACTTTCTGACTGTTGCAGGCAACAAAACTAATGATCATTGGATTTTTCCTCTTGCTCGCTTTTGTGTTCATTGTTGTTTGGCGCAAACTGGAACCACGTCGATTGCCGCAAATCGTTTTTGCAGTTGTCTTCTCGCCGTTTCTTGCAGCACTGGTTTCATTTGGCATTATATCCTGGCTTCGCTTCCCGCTTTACTCAATCATGTGTGTCACACCGTTTCTTATCCTTGGAATTGGTATGCATGAAATTACTTCATCTATTAGCTTTCTCCTCGCTATCGTCTAGTCTGTAGGCATCCTTCGAAAGAGGGAGTCACTGACAGTCCTACCAAAGGGTGGTTGCTGTTGGCATCTACTACCCTTGAAACACTTCCGAGTGCCTCCGCCTCGCATAGAAAGTGGATGCAGAAATTTTGACTTCT